TTTGAACTAAATTTTGTCAAAACTCAGCTTGACAAACACTGTGAAGTGAATGGAATCTAACTAAACTATGGCAACACTATCTTTTCTGTCTGGAGTCTGGAGAAAAATTTTGTGCTCTATGTATATATTTGTAAGTCATTTTTATTTAATGTGTGTGCACGTATATTATGGATCTTTGTGCCGTTGGTTTTAAGAGTGCAACTTTTGTGGAAAGCATGCTTGTTTATTTATCCAAAGAAAAGAGAGTAAGTTAAATATGAATTTTAATGTAAGTTTGAGAGGGAGAGAGAGAGAGAGAGATCCATTAATATTATATAATGTTTACCAAGAATGGAAAGATTCAAGAAGGATAAAATTTGATAGAATGGCTTAAAACAAAAGTGGGTACATGTAGAATAGAGGTAGTTTGTGTGTGTATTAGTGATTATTGAGGGATGAATAGAGTATTATTTACTGCCAATCCTATCCTAGCTCAAATTTGAGCTTGAAACTCACTATTTATGCTTAAAAACGTGTCGACACGTGATACCTATTTAGCCTACCACTAATGTATCACACTATTACCTAAGGCAGCTACAGCCTACAAGTGAAGATTTTCTTGTTGGTAGGTCTAGTAACATCAATGTTTACATAACCTCTCCTGGAACTGATTGATCCACAGAGATTGCCTTTGATTGTATATAACTCTGATGAGCAGAGTCTTGATTTTTCCAGGTTCCTTGGCATGTCCCTTGTGGAGGAGTGTGCTATGGTGATGGCAATTTGGTTTTTATTGCAAATGATTGGCATACCGCACTGCTACCAGTGTATTTGAAAGCATACTATCGTGACAATGGCCTGATGATGTACACACGATCAGTCCTTGTCATCCACAACATAGCACATCAGGTATGCTGTAATTGATGGGCTTGAAATTTAACTAATTTTTTGAAGTTTGATTATTACAGCTGCACCCATAATTGTAATATTGTATACCTCTGCTTGTCAATACATTGTTGCCACCCTCTTTCAATGTTTGTAATTCTGTCAATCTTAAAACAGTCGCAATGTTTGCATGGTGATGTTTATTCCAGAGAATTTAAAGCCTATTACATAGTGTAAAATAATGCTGCATAATATATGGCTTCTCTCACTGAAGTTTCTTTGCACATTCTGGGAAGCATTTCAAAATCTTTATTTGATACTTCCTCTGTTTTTAAGATAAAATTACTTTAATCATTACACTATTTAAACACTCTGCTTCTTTCATTCTATCATTGTACAATATCAAAATATCAATTTTTAAAAAATATTCTGTTACTTATAGATTATTAAAGATATTAATTGTTGAAAACATGCATTGGCAAACTTGAAAAGAGGAGTAATCCAAATAAAAAAAAGAAAAAAAAATAAAAATAAGATAGGCCTTCTGCTTCCTTAACTATTCCATGATCCATATATGCATTTAGAAGCGTCTATATTGTAACTTAATCGGTTTCTCCAATTCTCATATCTAAGCTGGATGCAACATATTCGTGTTCTTCACGATGATTGCTTTGCAGCATCTTATTTTTGTGGAAACATGAAGTTTTCCGTACAAATCATTATGTGAGTGGCTCCTTCCTTTTGGCCCAAATGTGCTGCAACCCAACCCTAGACATGTCATCATCTTTGACTTTGTGTGTCATGATGAACAAGGTCCACTTATAAACAATGCTAAACATTACTCTTTCCATGCTAGACGAGTTAAGATCTGATTTTGTATTGACTTCTGAGTTATTTAACCAATTGTTCACTGTCAGGGTCGGGGTCCTGTAGATGATTTCTCCTGCGTGGATCTTCCACCACACTACATTGACTACTTCAAGATGTATGATCCAGTTGGCGGAGAGCATTTCAATATCTTTGCTGCTGGTCTCAAGGCTGCTGATCGCATAGTGACTGTAAGTCATGGGTATGCATGGGAGCTGAAAACTCAGGAAGGCGGTTGGGGTTTAGATGGGATTATCAGCGAGAATGATTGGAAATTAAGAGGCATAGTGAATGGGATCGATGTGAATGAATGGAACCCACAATTGGATGTTCATCTACAATCTGACGGGTACATTAACTATTCCCTTGAGACTCTGAAACCTGGCAAATCACAGTGTAAGGCAGCTCTGCAAAAGGAGCTCGGTTTGCCTGTTCGAGATGATGTTCCATTGCTTGGTTTTATTGGAAGGCTAGATAACCAGAAAGGTGTTGATATCATAGCAGAATCAATTCCTTGGTTAATGGGCCTAGATGTGCAGCTAGTCATGTTAGGCACAGGGAGGCAGGATCTGGAACAGATGCTCAAGCAATTTGAAAGCCAATACCCAGATAAAGTAAGAGGATGGGTTGGGTTTTCTGTGAAGACGGCTCACAGGATCACTGCTGGAGCAGATATATTACTTATGCCTTCGAGGTTTGAGCCTTGTGGGCTTAATCAGCTATATGCAATGAAGTATGGAACTATTCCTGTTGTTCATGCTGTTGGTGGACTGAAAGATACTGTCCAACCTTTTGATCCATATAGCAACTCTGGTCTTGGCTGGACATTTGATCGGGCCGAGGCACACCGCCTGATTCATGCTTTAGGCAACTGTTTATTGACATTCCGTCAGTATAAAGACAGTTGGGAAGGTATCCAAACACGAGGGATGACACAAGATCTTAGTTGGGACCATGCTGCCGAGATTTATGAGGAAGTCCTTGTTGCAGCCAAGTACCACTGGTAAACTGTTGGGTTACTATTGGAGTACCCCTTTGGTTCAGTCCAGGTGCTCTGTCAACACTCTTTCAGAGTGAAAGGCGGTTGTTTCTGATCATGGAGGAACTTGAATATATGGAGTTTTAGGTAAATATTTTTCTGGTTAATATACAAGTTCCACGCCACGTATCTGGTTGCAATCTTTTATTCTGAGAGTATTCAGATCTTTAGAGACTGAAAATTACAAATGGGAGTGGCTAACAGCGGTGTAATGTGCTCACTAGTCTATTGTAGAACTAACATCATATAGCAGACATTAAATACAGTTGAATAAGTCTAGTGCTTGCCCTTGTCAGTTGATCCCATTGTTCTATAAATAAATTGTAATACTTGTATAAATCAATGTTAAGACCTTCAGTCTTGACATCAATTAATCCCCTACTGGTGTTATTTTTCCTTTCTTTTGTATCAAATTGGCTCCGGCGAAGTGGAAGGTGACTGAAAGAATAGTGACGTGAGGTGGTGGAGCGATGGGAAGCACTATGAGTAGATGGGAGACGACAGTTTTCCGTTTTTGGTTGCTAATGATTCTTATCTGGGCCATGGTATGATGATAATTCTAATACTAGTGACTTGGTGAGTAGTGACATTATGATTTTCTATATTATAATTTAACATTTCACCACCATGCTCCAAAACTCTAATACTAATTTTTTTTTTTCCTCAATTTATTTATTTAGTTTTTATTTATATATTTATATACTTGTATAAGAACCTACCAAACCTATCCCACTACTTTCCTAAAAGTTTTTTTCAAAAGACGTTAATAACTACTCACCTAATAAAAAAAATATTTCTAAACTTTAATTCACATTTTCTTCACCAAATTCTACCAAATTTCAAAGAGAAAAATGTGAATTGAAGTTAAGGAGAGCGTTTTTAAAAAGAAAAATCAAGGAAAAAATCAGTCAAAAGGATCAAAATAAGCGGGGATTTTTAAAATAAATGGTAATTTGAGCATTTATTTAATTTAAGGGGTGATAATTTAAAAAAAAAAAAAAACGGGTGGTTAGTTCGAAAATAGTTCCATTTTCGGATGGTAATTCAAAAATTTTCCTATCTATAATTGTGTAAGAGTAATTAAAAAGTTGATATTGTGAAATTATTTATGAGACGAATCCAATAAGATCTCACATAACTATATTTAGCTTAACGTATAAATCATATTATATGGTCAAACAAGAGTGATGAATAGTGGAAAAAGTTCATTGTTGCAATATTAATAGAACGGAGGAAGTATGTTTTATTAGGGCTGACACGACACGATAACCCGACAAGAAATAAGCGGGTTTGGGTCAAGTATTCTCAACCCGTTTACATAATTGGGTCAACACGAACCCGACACGAAATTAAACGGGTTAGGTTTGGCTTGAAATTTTCAACCCGAAACCGACACGCATAATCCATTTATTTAAATGGGTTGAACGACAACCCGCTAACCCAAACCCGACACGCTTAATCTATTAATTAAGTAGTAGAAAAAAAAAAGAACAAAAATTTTATTCTAAACTTGTATTTTTGTAAATTGCCTTGGCACCATGTATACATTTAGGTAATTTTTGGTGGTTAATTTGGCGAATAAAATAGATTCCAACTTTTGTAAATTAAAATTTGGCTGTTAATTTGGGACAATTCTTATGTATGGTTGTGCTGCTAAAGCAACCAATTTAAATTCCTATAGTACTTTTGCTAAAATTACTAACTTTAAACTCTTGTAGTATTTTAATTTTGAAATTGAATACTACCTCCGTTAATTGTTATGTGCAACTTTGAGATATTATTTGTGAGATATTAAATATTCCAAAGTTGCACATAACATTTAACGGATGTGGTATTATAGTTTATTACATATTATATGGGTAAAAGGTTACACGTGTAACCTATTTAATAAATGGGTTAGGTTTGGGTCAAGATTTTTCAACCCGTTTAAAATAAATGGTTTAGATTTGGATCAAGGGTTTTTCAACCCGTTTAACATCGACACGAACCCAAACCTGACACGACCCGTTTGACACCCCTATGTTTTATGATGTCCAAGTAGTAAAGAAAATATACTAGTATATTAGTATATATATTGTAAAAGTGATACTAAGAGTCAATCTACAGATCAACGCTTGACAAGTGAACAAAACATAGATGATCAACTTCTGAAAATCTTTGTTTGCCTTTTGTCCAAATTAAAAAAATAAAAAAAATAATAAAATAAAAAGCTTCTAATAAATGCACGAAATGATGCAGCCTGCAGTGAATTTCAAGGACTACCTCAGGCAAAACTCTAAAATTAATGTACAAGCAATAATACTAATACAAAAGGGTGATTACTCACCTAGTTTTATCCTTTGAGATTAAAAAAAAAAAAAAAAAAAAAAAAAAAAAAAAAAAAAAAAACATATTGAACAATATAACAACTTTTTTCCTAAAAACTCACTATCATCACCAAAAATTTTACTAAAATATCACTCCAGTCTTAACTGTAAGACTGAACAATATAACAACTTTTTGACTCAAACCTAATAACAAGAAAGAAAAATACACAAGGGTATTGTCAGCAGTGCAGAAGACCAATTGCCGGCGAGCAAGCAGGCAGTCTTCGTGCTTCAGGGACCTCTATTTTCTAGCTTGCATTGACACCACATGTGAATCTTCAATGATGAATATGAGCTCAAGAATTTCCATGCCATCATAACATTGAGGCGAATAATATGTAAGAGATGTAGTATAATGTATAATTCTGATAAAAACATACAGCAGGCAGGGTATTGCAATTACTTCACCAGGCCATGTCTCCACAGATTTGATCATCATTGGGGAGGAACTGAGGGACTTGCTAGTAACAGGGAGCTATCACTGGCCTTCACCAATTGCATAAGTTCACCAATTGAAATTTAGAAAAGATAGAACTATCCACAATGCAAACTAAGAGATTTCAGTATTTTGCCTATTGTGAAGGTAATAAATTCTATCCCAGAAAACTCATAGACAAACCTATAGCCAGTACCAGTGCCACTAGTTTCGTTAATATGAATATGACAAAAATATGAAGGCATCCCTCTATCATGACTATGTACTTCAAGTATATGATACCCTCTGCTACTGATTCTGCACAGGAGATGAAAAAAGAGCAGAGAAGCCCTTTGAAAGTCGGCCTTCAGCTGTGTGAAGAAATTTTGACGAACTCAATGGATTAACTGTAGCAGTGTGCAACCCTTCATCTAAGCCATTTGCAGTCGGATGGTCTCCACATCTCTGGTGCTGCTGCGGCTGCGGCTGCTTCCTTCGCTTGCAGCTTATATTGGCATTTTTCATTTTTGCAGGTAGGGAGTTGATATCCAAATCAGTTTCCATTAAGTCCAGCCGGAATTTCCTCTTCAAACCAGGCAAGTTCTTTAATCCTGCAACACAAGCAATTAATAATGCATCGAGATTAAGCTACAAAGGGAATATAAAAAGAGGAATTGGGTTTGGGGAGGGGGGGGGGTCTCTTGGCTATTTCATTATTAATTTATACTGATTGCAAATGCATTTATACCTGGAAGAGGCTCTTCGAACATGGATGATTTGCCCTCAGGATCATCACAATCACAGGTGATGTTGTGACGGGTGTGGTTATTGGATCCAGTAATTCTACACAGCATTTAATGGGTAAAGGTGAGCAAAAATATACAGGAGGAAAAAAAGTTTTGAATGATATTATAAGCAACAAAAAAGAGTCAAAAGAGCTATATGAACCAGTCTCCCTATAATGGGTATTAAAGATAAGTCAAAGAAAACCCATAGAATGGTACACCAAGAATATACTAAAAAATGGCATTGTAGATAAATTCGATCATGATTCTTCTAATTAAAGCTTCATTTCACCTGAAGATCTTATTTGACCATTTTTGGTTTGGGATGACACTGGTAGCTTTGATCTGAACTTCTAAAATATATCAAGTTTACCTTTAATTGTCTTGCTTATTTTTGCTGAACTTAATAAATCAAATGTGAGAAGACTAAGAACAAGGCCCGAGAAAGCATTTATCATCTTAGATTAGGTAAGCTCCTACTCTAAGCAACTTTTTGGCGGTACCCTGAACGAATAAACTTTCCTGCTGTAAATTAACCTATTCCATTCAAATTGCCCTCTTTGAAATTCTATAACATTCCTATTCAAGTGCAAATGTCAGCTAAAAAAACATATAGAGTAATTAATTGCATCAAAATATAAACTTATATCAAGAAAAGATATAACAAGGGGTATTCAGGCCATTGGTACAGCTCAACCATCAACACTGGGCAAACTAAATCTAGGCAACCTCCTTTGTGCAAACCTAGCCATTAGCTAGCCAGGTATTGGTTGTGTGGTCCCCCCCAACACACATGCACTCAATTTTCTCAAAATTCTCATCCACCTTCTAAAAATCACTTTAGTATCCTTTTCCTTATATCTTCACACGACATTCCTAATTCAAATCTGGCAAAAAAAAAGAAACAAATCTAGAATACATCTGGTTCACAACAGCTTATATGTTTCAAAAAATCTTTCATGATAAAATAATAATACTATCTCCGATTTTTATTAGTTGCAACTTTGGAATATTTTATATCTCACAAATAATACTCCAAAGTTGCAACTAATAAAAATCGGAGGTAGTAATAAAAAAAAAGGAAGGGAATGGTTGTGGGGGATAACATATTTTTCTAAATTGTCTGTACTAGCGGACATTATTGGATGATTTTTAAAGGGTATGCTAACACACCACCAGGTGGGGGGGGGGGGGTGGATTCGTAAGGGACAAATTTAGTTTTATTAAGCATACACAAACAATAGTTTGGAAATTAATCAAAAAGTTTAGTAATCAAGATAAGGAAGCAAGATTGCAGAATAGTACATGAGGGCCCAAGGCAGAATCCTCACTATTTGCTAATCTCATCAAATGACGATTTAAAGCAATTTGTAACAAAGCACCATTTGGTATTACGATAAGCCCTAACCGGGTAAAACAGACTCCAATAAATACCATAATGAAAAAATGATGCCCTAAACCCATCCTCAGTCTAGAACTAACATATCCAATTTGCCGATTGACAAGTTTAGGTTGCAAGAAAACAATGGCGTCTAAAAGTGGGAAGTAGAACAATAATAAGATTGCAGGGCCACTGCATGGTCACCATATCTGATCATGCATGCAGAATCCAATAAATTCAGAGGCACGAACAACAGTCACAAGCAGCAAAAGTGGCCAACAGTAATGAGATAAAGGGTAAGAACAGGCTTCAAAATGTAGAAATGAAGAAAAGGGGAGGAGCACAACCCAAAAACATTTTCCATGCGGTAAGCCTTGTACGTATCTAGCTATACGTATGGCCACATTGGTTTATAAGAGTAATCTTCATTTATGTATGAGTGACCGAGTGACCCCATTTATTCATAAGAGTATACTCATTTTGTCCATAAAGTAACCCAATTTATTATACGAGTAATATCAAGCAATTTAAGAATAAGTAACCCCATTTGTCCATTCAAGTAACCCCTATTCTTTTGTTTTAAAAAATGAAAGAATAACTCTATTAAATAACCCTTTTTACCATTTAAGTAACCTACATACATCAAGGTAAACCATTTGCTCATCATCGTGACCCCTATTACTTAATTTACTGCCTTAAACTTACCTCCGTTTTTTAAAGTTGACACGTATTCCTTTTTAGGAAGTTTATTTTTATTTGACATGTTTCCATTTTGGGTAAGTGTTATACCTTGCATTTATTAGTAACCCCATTTGCTTCATCATTTTCTCTCATATCCTTAACATGTGTGCCTAAATTGAACGCGACAACTAAATAGAAACAGAGGAAGTATGTGAAGTGGGCCATTGTTGGCCACACCATGTGAAGAATTTATGTACTACCTAATAAAAAATAGCCTAAAACCTTCAATGATTTCATAAATTGACCGACCAATGTTACATTGTGGTACTGTATGATGACTTAGAATATTTTTAAGGAAAAAAAGGAAAGAAAGAAAAATTTTGTAACGTGACTTGCATCTCAAAATAGGAAAATGTAAAATCTACACCATCTTGTCCTAGAATTCTCCCTTTTTCGGCACGTAAATTTAATTTTCATATTCACTATACCCATATTCATTTCTCTATTCTATATATTATTCTTAATCTTTGAGTCAATTCCAACTTTGAAGTTTAATATAGGCAAAAGAAAGTATTTCTTTAGAATGGGATTCCTTTCGATCTAGCCATCTAGGTTCAACTGGTTTGTAATAGCTGAATAAAAACACATCATAACTCTATAAATCTAGTGATATTATGAAAAACAGAATACAGTACGTTTGGGGTTGTGTGGGGAACATAATGTCTTAGACGAGGAAAAATAATTCAGCGCTGTATGGTATAATTACAAGACTGATAGTCTGATAACACCAAAACCCACTACGTTACTACCAGAGTACCAGCCAACTTTGTGGGAGTCAATAGCAACTCCAGCTCCTTCACCACTTCACCAGTATCAATACGCCCCAAATACCACATAATTGACATAATATAAGTGACTGTTTCATACTTACAAAATGAATGAAAGAACACATTTACGAATCACAAAGTAAATATTGAGATAGATATCAAACCTGTACATGTGCTCAACAAAGTCATCGATCAATGTAGGCCAAGCACCTGAAAATAAATTAGCCGAGAGAGTTATTTTGAAATATAACTTTATTTCTGAAAAATACGAATTATTAATGTTGATGAACAAGAGTTATCAAACAAAATAGAAAACGAAAAGCCAACTAATAATATAAGACTGTTCTAGCCTCGACTGTTTTCTAATTAATCCTAGTCATAATTTCTATGTAGAGTAAGTAATGGAAACAGACTTTGCATCCTTGATCGACTACTTTCATAGAATAATTTCATTCAACAAAACCTGTAAAATTCCTCCAACAATCTTCCTACCCAAATAATATGTTATTTCTCCCACCATTAATAGAGAGAATCATTCAGTGCGCTAGAATCTGAGCTCGAGAAGCCTCCATTCATAGCTTAAATCAAATAAACCTCTCACTCTGATATAGTTTTTGGGTTAACCAGTGTGTGTTCTTTGCTTTTAAGTTTTAGAATACTACATCCGTTTCTTTTTATTGCAACAAAAGATTATTTTTTTTGTCTTACAAATAATACGCCTTTGTTGCAACTAAAAAGAAACGGAGGTAGTATATTGTTGTAAATCAATAAATTTGGGATTAAAATGTGAATCAATAAATTTGTTGCAGCTAAAAAGAAACGGATGTGAATTAATAAATTTAAAATTAGGCATATGATTTGGGACAAGGTATCTAAGAAATAAGATTTAAACACGGAAATATTCCCATAATAGATCCTAACTCAATTGAGAAGAACTTCTCTTCATATATAGAAGTATTGTCTAACTTAGTGATTAGATTTGCTTGATTACTAAACAAGTCATTCGTAGTTCATACTTCCATAACACTAAATGTCACAAATCATCATACTTAAACACTAAATATGAAGCTATATCAACTCAAAGATTAAACTTCTAGCATATACAAATAACATCGGCTACCAATTTACATTGCAAAACCATTAATCTGCGTATGATTAAGTGTGAAGCCATCAACTGAACAAATGACCATTGAGTATCAGCTTCAGTAAATCCATCACAGCCTTACAAGCCTCCAAGATTGCAATCTCACACAACTAAAAGAACCCCTTTGGATCTTATCTAAATTTTAATAAACGTAGAAAAATAACTAGAAACTGAATTACTAATTTAAGACATAGAATGTGTAACAAGGTTAATAACTATGCAGCACAATGTAGGATAATACACAACTACGTAAAGTCCACCACACAAAGTACTTTAACAATCTCAGCCTCATGAAAAGACAAAACCCCATAAATTCTTCCTGATAATGCTTCAAAAACTGAACATAATGAAATCAAGTTAAGCTAAATAAGGAATTCCGGAAACCACTACCTTCAGGATCATACCCTTCCAGATCTTCATGTACACACCGGCTGAAAGCCAAAACTTGACGCCAGGTATCTTCAGAGAGATTGTGCTTCTGGTTCTTCTGAGATTACCCATTTAACATGAGTACATAAAATGAAATCCACAACTTTCATGCCAATAGGAATTAGAAAATCAAGCCCAAGATAAATAAGCTTAGCAGGAGGTAAAATACTAGAATGTACATTGATTTACATAGATCCATGCTCTTTTCACGGCAGATCTTCAACAATGACAAGCAAATTAAACAACTAACAACAAAAGTAATTAAGTATATACACAGACATTAGTGAATAAGCTTCCATTAGACATCACAAGACCACAGTAAATCTGACACACAGAATAACAGACCTCAAAAATGACTACTGGACTTAAAGATGAGAATGATCTATACATCTAGAATTCGAAAATGTCAAAGCAAGATCATCCTACCTCAACAAAGTCACACCACTGATCAAGTAGCCTAAATCTTCCAGAAAGGACTAACTTCCATGCATCTATTGCCCTTCTTACAGCTAAAAGACAACAGAAGAAAATCCACGAGGAATACTTCTATCTGTTAAGGCATCAGAAATACAATATGATATGGAACTAAGGACCAGGAGAAGTACTTACTGATGTTCTTTTGACCACTTTCACGACACATGAAGAATACAAAATCATAGAAATTAGAAAATTCTGAAAAATCCCCCTAGAAAGAATAGAGAAACATATATTATCATATGCAGGTATTAAAAACAATCCCTAACGACAATAAAGTGCTCTTTTCTTTAAGATTTGGGGGGTGTATTTAATGCAAATATTAAATCTTACCATTATATTTAAACGGGACATGAGCTTGTATAATTCAGCCAAAATCGAACAGCTGCCAGCAGAAGTTTATAGCACGATAAGGGAAATAATTGAATAACTAACTAGGGTGAACAGAATTACAAAAGCAATCAAAACCATTGAGTGAACTTAAAACAAATTGATTGAAATGCAGCCAATTCACCTTAGTAGAAGCAAAAGAGCAATTAGTAAATTCAACTTTTATACATTCCTTGAGCCAATGACCCACATTGGAAACATTGTAACCTTCGTTGTTGGTATCGCTAGGAAAATAGATACAATACTGGACAAGAATTCAACATGTGGAAGTATTCATTCATATTCAACCAATTATTTGGTAGACACAAATTTGGCATGTCAGCATCATTTCTGTGTTAGGAATATCCATTAGGATGACTGTAAGGTGTCATCCATGATCCCTCCCTGAGGGGCAAAGAGAAAATATATCAAGCCCTTAACACTATCTAACACCCAACCATAAAGGACCAGCGACAAAATTAAGATGATTCCCTCGAATCCATGATCTAATCCACAACACCAAGATCAACATTACTTCAATGCCACTAAAGTGGTTCCAACCCTAAAATAAAGAAGAGTATATTTAAATCATCGCTGCTACAATGCAAAAAGGCTATTTCAATCAACTTCTTGACCCAAATCAGTAATAATCTACTTTAATTGGTATTCAGGCTCTACTGAAATAGACCAATTCATAATCTCATCTGAACTAGGCAATTTGCAGTGATGAAAGAACATGACATCTTTCATATTTTTTTTCCAAAAAAAAAAAAAAAAAAAAAAAAAAAAACCAAATGTACACCCTGGTCCTTGACAACCGTCAATTTCTTTCCTAAACTCAGCATATTAGTGGCCTTCACAATTCAGCTAAAGAGATATTAAATGTAGTAGTGGAATAATTTTACAAGGACTCAAACATTAACATCTAACTCAAAGGTAAAAGCCAGCAAAAGCATATATTCAGATATTTACTTGAGAAATTAATTTAAAACAAAAAAAACAGTTACAAATATTGGCTCATGACTAATTTACAGAGAAATTAATTTAAAACAAAAAAACAGTTACAAAAACTGAGTAAGATATTATTAACAGAGAAATGCAACACAATGCATCCACATTTTAAATTTACAGAATTCATAATCTTTTTTGTTCAAATCATGCTTGGGCAAGGATGTTTTCAGTCAACTTTATTCCATATTATTGATTAAAGACTCTGTAAGATATACCTCATAATCATGCTTGATTCCACCATTTTTGAGAGATGGAATGTTGCCTCCCGTATATTCTTGGCCTTTTCTAAATCATTATCTAACATGTTGCTCGCTTCAGTGCAAGAATATACGTTTCCTGATCTGATATCTGACAAACAAGCTAATATTAATAATAATAAAAGCTGGAAGCAATAAATAACCTTTGAACCCTTATGAATAAATAACATTGCACATTCTATAAAGATGGATTGGGCTGTCACGAACTTAGGTTCACATACTATCTCCAAAACCCCAGCTGTCCCACCGTAATAATAAAATTTCCACGTAAACATCATAAATTAGAATATCCCCTCCTGCAGGAGAAAAGAAAAGAGGGAAAAAAAAAAAAAAAAAATTCCATTCAAAACAGGAATGCAGTATTGAATTGTTTTTATGCCAAATTCTACCACACTAGAAAAAGGAACCAGTAATTTACTTTGGTCAATCGAGTGGGCTAGCTTCTTGGCAGCATTGTGGTTTGTGTACTAATTTTGAAGGTAACATATCATCAACTTAATCTATTGGTTGATGGTTGATAATTAGTACAGCTCACCAACAGATTCAGAAGATTTCACTAATTTATCAATATCTATTATGGAAGGAGAGATTGTTCTCGGGCGCAGCGTACACCCATGAGTATTTTGTACTCATTCTGATGATTGTTTTTCATTCAATCATCAAATGAAGAGCAAAAACTAACATTGAGTTAGTTGGATGCACCCGGATGTATATAATAAATTATATTATGGAAGAGTTCTAAAGATTTCTTGGAACGTTAAAAGCACATAAAAGATAATACTTTTAACTTCCCTAAATTCCTAAAAAATGATAACACTCTTGAGCAATTCACTCTGATCAAATAACGATTTGGAACTGCCGCGAATTTAAAAAGACAAAACCAATGAATGCCATTTTAACAAAAAGATTAACTCAACTAATCAATTTCCCAAACAATCAAATATTCACTAATTCACCCTCCATTAACCCCATGATAAGCAAACAAATTCAAAAACATCCAAGAAACGATAATCAGTCCAAAATTCCACTAAACCTTACTGAGGTTCACATACTATCTCCAAAATCCCAGCTGTCCCACCGTAATAATAAAAGTTCCACGTAAACATCATTGATTAGAATATTCCCTCCCGCATGACAAAACAAAGCTTCCATTCGAAACAGAAATACCGTATTGAATTGTTTTTATGCCAAATTCTACTACACACTAGAGAAAGAACCAGTGATATACTTTGGTCAATCAAGTGGGCTAGCTTCATGGCAGCATTGTGGTTTGTATACTAATTTTGAAGTTAACATATTATATAACTTAATATCTTGGTTGATAATTAGTATAACGCACCAATAGATTCGGAAGATTTCACTAATCCATCAATAACTTAATCTCTTGGTTGATAATTAGTATAACGCACCAAGAGATTCGGAGAGAACTCACTAATCCATCGACAACTACTACAGAAGATTCCACTAATCCATCAATAACTTAATTTCTTGGTTGATAATTAGTATATCGCACCAAGAGATTCGGAAAGATTTCACTAATCCATCAATGACTACTACGGAAGAGTTCTTGGAACGTTAGAAGAATATAAAAAATAATACTTTAAACTTCCCTAAATTCCTATGTAATTTTAACACTCTTGAACACTTCACTCTGATCGATTAACGATTCAGAAATGCCGCGAATCTTAAAATACAAAACCAATGAATGTCATTTGACAAAAAGATTAACTCAACCAATCAATTTTCCAAACAATCAAATATTCACCAATTCACCCTCCATGATGAGCAAACAAATTCAGCAACATTCAAGAAACGCTAATCAGCCCAAAATTCTTTAAAAAAGAAAAATCAATAATCAAACCAACAATCAGCAAATTAAGCAGAATTAATCATCTCAATAAAATCAACATCAAAATAATGGAAACATAAACAATCATCAAGTAAAACCCCAATCATCAGCAACAAGAAAATCGACAAAGAACAGTATAAATTCCAGAAAATAAAAAATGATTTTATGAAATTGAAATTACCGCAGAATTGCCGGTAGATATGAAAGATATCAAATTGGGCAGAATTAGAGTAATCCATGATGAGATTAAACTTAGGGTTTCAATTTCATGAAGAAATCGGAGTAAAAATCGAAACCCTAAGCAACCCAAGCACGCCAACGTCACCTGTATTTCGCTCTCAAAGTTTTCAGAGTTGAATTGAGTTTCTCTCTCCTCTCCTACTGTTTTACACTACTAAGTACTAACGCTTAAAGTTGGAGTCGACTTGAACAAGCAAAAAAATAGAAAATAAAAAATAAAAAATAAAAATGCATTGCGTGTATTATGAGAGGACGATGATATAACCGTTGTTTAGGTTGTATTTTGATCATCATCACTTTCTTATGTAAGTGTTAATATACAATCAAGTCAAGAGTGGAATGTAAGAATTGCCCGTTTAATGATCGAGTTGTAAATGTATTTTTTAATATTTTATCGTTGAATTGGTGTGAAGTATATATATACAGTAGTTAATATTATGATGCAGTCATTTTTGTTATTACAGATTATTTTCAGAATCATTTTACGTTGTTGTATCTGAAATGGAATTCATTCTATTGCTCTTCCTACTCGTGTGGATAATGATCGCAGTAGAATTTATGTCAGGCTTGTCATTACGCGGAGTTTGGAATGGAGAGTAGAGAACAAATGAAGTAACTTAAAGAAAAGGATTATCGTATATGTATACAGAAATTGTCGTTGACTAATGGAATGCATATGGGCTTCTAGCACCAAACAATAACAATGGAAGCTGCTGAAAGGATGCTTAAGGGTTTTCTTATTGTTGAGGCTTATAGATTAAATATCTGAGAAATAACAAATGCGTTTGTTTCAAAAAAAAAAAAAAGAGAAATAATAAATGCAGTCTTTCTTTTAATCTTAGATTAACATTAACCAATGATCACTCCTCTAATGCAAAAGTTATGACCCTTCATAATGATTTGCTCTTATCAAAAGCTCATAGTATCATGTGTGTTTTTCACTGAAGATAATAACTTACTTAAATATCATTAATATTTTATAAGGTAAAGATTAGTGGTGCCCTTAGAAAATTAAAATTTGCTAATGGATAGAGGACGTTAAACAGTTGTTTTGAAATCATCTAATTGTCAACTCTTTCTACATCCATAGAGAAGCATCATGCTATTGAATGCAAACTCAGCCCACCAAGATACTGAACCTTTTTAAGATGGTAAATTTTATCTTTTTTTTTTTTTTTAAGACAAGTTAGGGTTTAGTCTTAAATGAACATTTCCTAACTTCTAATTACCTTTAAAAAAATAAATAATAAAAATTAACAATCCATTTCTAAGAGAAACTAAGTGTTAATACGAGATTATGCTATACTACATACATACTTATCCAATTTCACACACACACAATTTTGAGGATGGTTAATCTAATAACTTCATCCCCTAATACCTATTACAACATGTAATCCCCTATAAGATCCTTGTGAAATGTTATAAAAAAAAGTACATATTTATATTTATATTGCCTAATTCTACTTAAGTGACATGGTTAATTGAACTTAATCATCTCCAAATAAAAGGGTTTGAACACATTGGGAACTTGAGCTTCAATGTAGTCAAGTTGGTCTTTGTGAAGGTGCATGTACACAACCCAATCTCCATTTTCTAATGGAGTTGGCATAGGCATCACATAACCACAACTACCACCCCATGGAAAATGGTATGATCCGAAAGTTGGTGTTGATAAGTATATTAGGTGACTCATACTTCGTAGCTTTGTCCGCCCGATCGGGCGGACATTGCCCGGTCTGACCGGGCGGAAGAAGAAGAGGTGCCTGGCAAATTCGTTGAAGAAGCTGCTCTCGCGCCCGACCGGGCGAGCCTTCGCCCGACCGGGCGAGCCTTCGCCCGATCGGGCAGACCTTGCCCGGTCTGACCGGGCGGTGGGGGTTGGATACATTGAAGCATTCGTATGGAGTTTTCTTCTCGCGCCCGATCGGGCAGACCTTGCCCGGTCTGACCGGGCGGAGAAGGAAAAATACGGAACGCGGATTTTGCGGTTTTAGGTTATCTTATTTTATTATCTTTTTGCCCAAGTATCTTTTATTTTAGGGATTAATATAAAACCTCCCTAATATCAGTATTAGGGTTAAGAGAGACAGAGTGAAAGCCGTTCTTGAGAAATACAAGAATCATCTTTGTAATCTTTGCAGTTTATAGTGAAATCATTCGATCTCGGTGCCCGTGGACGTAGCTATCACATCGATAGTGAACCACGTAAATTCTTGGTGTTGTTCTTATTGTTTGCATTGAATTTCTTTATTGTTTTCTTGTTTGTTTTCGACCTTTGCTTCCGCTGTCGCACAACAATTGGTATCAGAGCTCAGGTTCAATCCTTGGAGAGTTTCTTGAAGATAACAATGGCAGGAGATTCAACAATAAGAATTGAGAAGTTTACCGGGAAAAATAGTTTCGGGCTATGGCAAATTAAGATGAAGGCTCTGTTAAAACAACAGCAGATATGGCGTCCGTTGGCTCCAAAGAGTACTACTTCGGAGTCAGGAGACGGACCGACTGACTCGCAGTTAGAAGTTATGGAAGAGAAGGCACACTCTACCATATTACTTAGTCTTGATGATCAAATCATCACGGAGGTTGCTGATCAGGAAACGGCGGCTGGATTGTGGCTGAAGCTGGAGTCATTGTATATGACTAAGTCGTTGACCAACAAATTATTACTGAAACAGCGGTTGTTTAGCCTCCGGATGCAGTCAGGTACTTCCTTACGGGAACATCTAGAAAAACTTAACTCTATTTTGCTTGATTTACGTAATTTAGATGTTAAAATTGATGATGAGGATGCTGCGTTGATTTTACTTGTATCTCTACCGTCTAGCTTTGAGAATTTTGTAGAGTCTTTTGTTGTTGGTAAGGATTCTATAACCTTAGAAGAAGTGAAGGCAGCACTTCATACTAGGGAACTCAGAATGAAAGCTACGAGTGATAATGGGGATAATGGTAGTGGGTTATTTGTTAAGTCCGGAAAGTCTAAAAAGAATAAGGGGTTTAACAAGGGGAACAATGCTGGGTCGGGTGCTGGAAACGGCAAGGATGGATCTAGTAAAACTACTACTAAAACATGTTATTACTGTAAAGAACCGGGTCACTTTAGGAATAATTGTCCGGTGAGGAAAAACAAGTCCCAGGCTGCTGTAGTTGAAGAGAAACCGAATGAGAGCTATAATTCAGAGGAAGATTTAGCATTAGTCAGTTCTGCTAGGTCTGATGATTTATCTGATAACTGGGTTCTAGATTCGGGGTGTTCGTTCCATATGTGTCCACGTCGAGATTGGTTTGATACATATGAACCTCGCAATGGGGGTATGGTTATAGTCGGTAACAATGCTCCATGTAAGGTCACAGGTATTGGTTCCATGAGGTTGAGGACTGTTGATGGGCGGAGGTTAACTTTGACTAATGTACGGCATGTTCCTGCTTTAGGAAAGAATCTGATTTCATTGGGTACCCTGGATGAATTGGGGTACAATGGTGTGTTTTCAGATGGGGAGTTGTGTATTTTCAGAGGTTCTGAGTTGGTACTTAAGGGTATCAAAAGGAACACCCTCTATGTTTTTGAGGGTGTTACACTGCCTAGTTCTGCGGTTTGCGCATCTGTATCTCACCAGGAGATGACTAAGATTTGGCACATGAGGCTTGGTCATATGGGGGAGAAGGGGATGCAGCTATTGTCCAAGAGGGGTCTTCTATCCGGGGTCAAGGTTGCCAACCTTGAATTTTGTGAGCATTGTGTGTTTGGTAAGAAACACAGGTCAAAGTTCAGCAAGGGTGCTCACATTACTGATGCAGTGCTCGATTACATCCATTCAGATTGCTGGGGTCCATCTAGAGTTGAAGGTATGGGAGGTTACCACTATTTTGTGTCATTTGTTGATGACAAGTCCCGATACACATGGCTTAGGTTGCTTAAGTCAAAGGATGAGGCCTTCAAAGTTTTCAAGCAATGGAAAGCTTTGGTGGAAAATCGACAAGGAAGGAAGATCAAGAAGCTACGAACGGACAATGGGCTAGAGTTTTGCAAAGACGAGTTTAATCAGTTCTGTGCAGATGAGGGTATAGGTCGGCATCATACTGTCAGGAAGACACCACAGCAGAACGGTGTAGCAGAACGGGTTAATCAGACACTGCTAGAGAGAGTTCGATGCATGCTCTCTAATGCAGGGCTTGGGAGGAGGTACTGGAGTGAAGCTGTGTTAACAGCTTGTTATGTCATTAATAGGGGTCCTCATTCTGGAATTGATTCCAAGATTCCGTTTGAGATCTGGAGTGGTAAGTTGCCTAATTTTTCGAATTTGAAGATTTTTGGTTGTGTTGCTTATTATCATGTTATTGAGGGTAAGCTGGATCCACGAGCCAAGAAGGGGTGTTTTGTTGGGTACGGGGATGGTGTGAAGGGGTTTAGAATTTTTTCACCTTCGGAGGGTCGGGTCATTCTTAGTAGGGATGTTACTTTCGATGAAAACACCATGTATTCAATTAAAAATGCAGAGATTTCAGATTTGAGAAGGGAAGGAGACAATTTATTACAGACAGATGGGGTACTTGAGGTACATCAGTCTACCATTGCTGATTTACCTCGGGTACAATATATTGATGATGATGCTGATGTTCCAGTGCCGGGTACTCCTGAACCTGAGATTACTCCTACTCATTCTAACTCTGGGGATGAGGTGGAGCAATCTAATCAGGGGTCATCTAGTCAACCTGACACCATTCTTGAGATGCCTAAACGAGTTATCAAGAAGCCTGTTAGATTGATTGAAGAGATGGAGGGAAGAAATTGCTGTGTTGATGCGATGACAGGTTATGCATTGAGTGTAGCTGATGATGTAGAGTCATTTGAACCTGCCACATATAAACAAGCAATTAGTTGTAGTGAGTCTGCGCAATGGCTTGCCGCAATGGGTGAAGAGATGCAGTCTCTTTACAAGAACAGAGTGTGGGAACTGGTAAAGGTACCGGAAGGGAGGAAGCTTGTGGGTTGTAAATGGATTTACAAGAAGAAAGAAGGGTTGTCGGAAACTGAGCAAATACGTTTTAAGGCTAGGCTAGTTGCTAAGGGGTTCAGTCAGGTAGAAGGGGTTGACTTTGTTGAGATATTCTCACCTGTGGTTCGACATACTTCTATCCGTGTGTTATTGTCAATTGTAGCACATTTTGATCTTGAGCTGGAGCAGTTGGATGTTAAAACGGCCTTCCTTCATGGCGATTTGGAGGAGGAGATTCTGATGAAGCAGCCCGAAGGATTCGAAGCTCCTGGAAAGGAACACTATGCCTGCAGATTGCTAAAGTCATTGTATGGACTTAAGCAATCCCCCCGACAGTGGTACAAAAGGTTTGATTCTTTTATGGTTTCACAAGGTTTTGACAGGAATTCATATGATTGCTGTGTGTATCATAGTAAGCTGGATAATGGTTCCATGATTTATCTTTTGTTATATGTTGATGACATGTTGGTTGCCACAAAGAATAAATCTGATATTGCTAGATTAAAGGAGATGCTTAACTCGGAGTTTGACATGAAAGACTTGGGTGCAGCTAGGAAGATTTTGGGTATGGAGATCTACAGGGATCGGGCTAGAGGTAAGCTTTTCTTGACTCAGAAAAGCTACATTGAAAAGATTTTGTCTCGTTTTGGGATGGAAAAATCGAAGCCTATAAGTACGCCAACTACTGTTAGTTGTAAGTTGTCTTTGTCTATGTCACCTCAATCAGAGGAGGAGTTGTCTTATATGTCTAGAGTTCCATATGCAAACGCGGTTGGTTGTTTGATGTATGCTATGGTCTGTACTAGGCCGGATATTGCGCATGCTGTTAGTGTTGTAAGCAGGTTTATGGCTCGACCTGGGAGGGAACACTGGCAAGGGGTGAAAAGGATTTTTCGCTACCTGAGAGGGACAACTGATATTGGTCTTGTGTACGGGAATGGTAGGGAATGCTTGGTCACTGGGTACAGTGATTCTGATTATGCAGCTGATGTGGATACCAGGAGGTCTGTGACTGGTTATGTGTTCACTTTGGGTGGTTCTGTGGTTAGTTGGAAGTCTACATTGCAGTCATCAGTTACGTTGTCAACTACTGAAGCTGAGTATATGGCTCTAACTTCTGCAGCTAAGGAGTCTATTTGGCTCAAAGGCCTAGTAGGTGAACTGGGTATTGCACAGGATTTTGCTACAGTGTATTGTGATAGTCTAAGTGCGATTTGCTTAGCTAAAGATCAAGTACACCATGATCGGACGAAGCACATTGATGTCAGGTATCATTTCTTGCGTACTGACAAGAGGATTAAGGTGAAGAAGATTGGGACTGCTGACAACCCGGCTGATTTCTTCACTAAGCCTGTTCCGTTTAGCAAGTTTAAACATTGCTTAGACTTGCTAAATATTGATTACTACGTGATGTAGTAGGCCCTGAGGGGCGAAGTTGGGGAGCTCCTGGTGTAGGTGTGTTGGCATTAAGGTGGAGCTTGCCCGGGGCTTGTGATGCAGGTGGAGCATTATGAGTTGTTATACTTGGAGACGAGTATGTGATGGGTCTTGGTTGAAGACTTATCGGGATGTATGGCTTATGCATGAGTCCTGCATCGGGTTTGGCTTGAGATGTTTTTTCACTATGTCTTGATGGGGTCGTTTGCTGACTACGAGTTCTCGTCAAGGTGGAGATTGTTGATAAGTATATTAGGTGACTCGTACTTCGTAGCTTTGTCCGCCCGATCGGGCGGACATTGCCCGGTCTGACCGGGCGGAAGAAGAAGAGGTGCCTGGCAAATTCGTTGAAGAAGCTGCTCTCGCGCCCGACCGGGCGAGCCTTCGCCCGACCGGGCGAGCCTTCGCCCGATCGGGCAGACCTTGCCCGGTCTGACCGGGCGGTGGGGGTTGGATACGTTGAAGCATTCGTATGGAGTTTTCTTCTCGCGCCCGATCGGGCAGACCTTGCCCGGTCTGACCGGGCGGAGAAGGAAAAATACGGAACGCGGATTTTGCGGTTTTAGGTTATCTTATTTTATTATCTTTTTGCCCAAGTATCTTTTATTTTAGGGATTAATATAAAACCTCCCTAATATCAGTATTAGGGTTAAGAGAGACAGAGTGAAAGCCGTTCTTGAGAAATACAAGAATCATCTTTGTAATCTTTGCAGTTTATAGTGAAATCATTCGATCTCGGTGCCCGTGGACGTAGCTATCACATCGATAGTGAACCACGTAAATTCTTGGTGTTGTTCTTATTGTTTGCATTGAATTTCTTTATTGTTTTCTTGTTTGTTTTCGACCTTTGCTTCCGCTGTCGCACAACAGTTGGTTTGCCCCATCCAAAATCCACTTTAGAGACCGGAAACCTTAGGCCCGACGACACCACAAAGGCCGGCCCATCACCGTCCTCGGTGCAATAGATCTTTGTCATGGCGGGCACGGGGCGGTGTGCCTCAACCCAATCAATGAGGCCCAAGAAGTGATCCTTTGTTACTGATTTTGCTAGGAAGTCATGCACCAATTTTGCCATTTTATTTATTGGCATGTCTTTTAAATCACCACATTTTTGCTCACCAAATGGTACTGATAACACGTTTCCAAAGTATGAATTAAAAGCTTGTGCTTTCTCCTTGCTTTCTTCGTTGCTTAATCTATTTCTGCCTGTTTTAAATAATAAGCGAATTAGAGGAGGTTAGAACATACTTCATTCAGAAATAATAGTCACATATTTTCATGTCTTAAGTCAAATATCATACTTCCTCCGTTTTTCTTAGTTGCAACAATTTGACTTTTAGACTATTTATGTGTTTCACTTTTGAATAGTTTTGATGATTTACAGTTAAGCAAATATATAGTCATGTGACATCTTATTAGATCCGTCTCGATTTATACTATTGTAATATCAAATATTTATAATTTTTACATGTTGGTAATTGAAGATATTAACGATTGAAATCATGTATCGGCAAATGAAAAGAGAAGTGTTGCAATTATAAAATAACACAGGAAGTATAATACTCCCTCCGTTGCATATTACTCGCAACAATGGAGTATTATTTGTGAGACATAAGATATTCCTTTATAGCGAGTAATATGTTACGGAGAGAGTATTTAATATTAGGACTTCAAATAATGTTTTGCGGTGATGTTTTACCATAATATTATGTGGGGTTGAAAAATAAGATTATTATTATCTATGATCAGAAGTAATATTGAGAAATGTATGCACTTATGAATGGAGCATGCTTACCATCTACAACGATGCCCATCCTACTAATCTTGTTCACATAATCCATTCCAAGTTGACAAGCATGAGAAGCAATAACTTGCCAAAGAAAAGCACTAAAACTTTGAAGTTTGCTAATTTTCTTGCAACATTCATTTTGAGCCAATGATTGAAGGGTATCAAGTTGGTATTTTGAGACATAATAAACTCGGGTAATAAGTGGGTCCATATTTTGATTTGGATTTGGATTTGGATTTGAATTTGAGAGGGATGAAATGGGTATATACATTTCATCAAATGTGGAGTTGTAGTTAAGTGGGCTTCTTGGGCTAACAATAGATCGGTGAAAATAAGGTGTTGTTGAAATGGGCTTTAAGGTTGCCATTTCGGCCCATGTGACCCAAAACATGTTTGCTGAGTAGGCGTCTGCAACTCGGTGGTCAAATGCACAAGCCACTAATGTTCCCCCACACTTCAACTCGGTCACCTAATACAAGTATAAAGTATAAACAACAAGGTTGTCAAAAAAAAATAAAAATAAAATAAAATAAAATAAATAAATAAATTAATGTGTAGGAAAAACAATATTGTATGATGTAGTATTAGGTTTTATTTGCATTATCTTAAGATTTTAAGTGGGACAAAATATATTTTTAAAAATGAAGGAAGTATGTGTTAATGGATTGGGTTAAATGAAATGATTATTTAATCAAACAAATATGGAATATAGTTCTTCTTTATATTTTTTCACGGTATTTAAGAAATAAGAGGAGAAAGTGGATGAAGTACATTAATAAAAGTAAAAAGTACAATTATAGACAAAAGTTATAGAGAGAAAAGTGGAAAAAAAAAGTACAAGGCATATGCAAAATTCAAGGGTAATATAGAAAGTGCAATGAATAAAGTTAAAAAAATGAGGGTATAATGGTCTTTATATAGTATTCAAAAATAGAAATAAAAACAACAATTTGATACTCCAAAATAGAAAAATAAGAACTATATTACGAGACGGGGAGTATTAGAAAAGAATTCATGGTGATTCATTGTTTTTTCATTTTTATAAAAACTTCAAAGCAAACACTCCATTACATGTAGGGCCGTCTATTACATGGTTTTCTATGAGCTTTAGAAAAAGGTCCAAAAAATCAAGGGCCCAAAATTAAGAAAGTTACCAATTAAATCTATAATTTATAATCTATACTTCTATATCTATATCTATACTTAGTTTATACTTAGTATTTAAAAATACAAACCACACATTACTCATATGCCACATGTCATCACAAATCACTCATATGCCACATGTCACCTTCTTTATCAAAAAAAAAAAAAAATCATGTCTTTATGCGTTCCGTAACTTGCAAATATAAGTAAGGAAATTAAATGTTTCAACTACACCAAAATAAAGTCGTAATCTTTTCATATCCTAAACTTAAAATAAAGTAATAGTAAAAAAAAAATAAAAAAAATTTGAGTTACTAGTCCACATCATATAAACATAGAAAGTACAATAAAACAATGCTGACTCATACAACACAAATAAGCAACACATTATAAGGAAACTATTCTAAGTAATAACTCGTGCATGGAACAGGTCAGAATGCTAGTTAGTATCTAGAAACATAAACTACAAATTCATATGATACATGTCATCACTAGTCACTACTCATTCATTATCCCCATATGATACATGTCAATTCTCATTTTTTAAGTCATTATGCATTATATAACTTGCAAATTCAAGTAAAAAAATAAAGTGTTTTATTTCCACTCAAGTTGCACCAATTAATACACATCACATAAACATATGAATAATAATAATAAAAAAATGTCTTTTTAACTCCTAGATTTAATATAACTTAAACCAATATGTCATTTTCATATCCCATGATCTTTATGTATATATACCAAACTAAATTCCTTCCTCTTCTTCAAGAGTTCTACCATCACTCATTTTTTTTTCTTTTTAAGTTTTAGTAATGAAATAATTACTTCGTTTTTCATATAAAAAGTTTCAACTATTGAAAAGTATACCTACTTATAAAATAACCAAGTAAGAAGCTGTGCATTGAACGAGCATAAAAGCTAGTTTAATTTTAAAAAAATACAAATTACCTTGTAAAAGTTGGTAATTACCATTTTCAAACCAAACTCTTCATATTCTTCTGTTTCTCCAAAATATAATACTAAGACTTTAGACATTTGTTTCTAGTTCCAAAACTAATAAAACTCCCTTAGTTATCTCTCTTTTTATTGGCGAAATGCCATCAATTCATCAATGGGCCATTTAATTTAAGGATAAATCTACATGAGAGCTGCATATAAACATTTAATATAATTCTTGTTTTAGTGTTAAGAGGAGAATTTACTGGCAATTCACAAGTAAATTGGAAAAATAAATATCTATTTATTGTCTATTCCATTTTTTTTTTATTTATATCAATATCAATTGAGTAATATTACTGACATTTTGGCTCTGTAATTTGCACAAAAAAGTCGCCACATGTTTTTTACATTGGAAAAATTTCCCAAAATAATCCTACATTTGGGGCGTCCACTAAAAATAACCTCACCTTTACCCTCCAATCTTTTTTAATGATCTCATTGTACTTAGAATGGGTTGTGTAGGTTTTTTTTAAAGTTTAATTTACACGTGTCGTTATTTGGTTGGTTAAAAAAAAAAAAAAAAAAAAAACCACCAACGCCACACCAATTCAGCCATCGCCATCCCTAGCCACCACCACCCAAACCCAAACTCGAACCACCACTATATTCCACCCAGACCTGAAATCACCGCCACTTAAAAGCTGATTGCGCTCACGACTAAAATCCCACGCAGCTAACCCAACCCCAGAACCCATTAACCCATTAACTTAAGACCATTCGAAAACCCATGTTCTCAAAAAAAAAAAAGACCATTCGAAAACCCACCATATCAAATCTGAATTGGGTTCAATGCGGAATCGGGGTGGGGGAGTTCAACGTGACTGGAATCAGAGGACTGGGGATGGGGGAGGTTAGCGAGGCCGGAATTGGGGGATGGGGGTAGTTGTTAGCGACGTTGAAATTGGAGGACGACAAAAGTCGGCATGGTCGGAATTGTGGGACAAGGGAGTTTGTACGTGGCCTGATTCATGGGACAAGGGAGTTCGCGCGTGGCCGGATTCCTTGGACAGGGGAGTTCGGCGACCGAATTCCTGGGACAAAGGAGTTTGGCGACCAGATTCCTAGGACAAGAAAGTTTGGCGACCAGATTCTAAGGACAAAGGAGGTTAGCGCGACAAGGTTGGTGGTTTGGCTGGTGGATGCAGCACGTGATTTTTAAAATTTATTGATTTTTCTTAACTTTTTTTTTTAAAAAAAAAAAATTATTATTTGGACTAATTAGGTGCCAACACGTGTCAAATAACTTGCTATAACTAATCAATTGAGACCGTTTGAACAAAATTGAGATTAAAGGTGAGATTATTTAAAAATAACCCAAAAGTAGGATAATTTTTAACGAACGCTTTAAAGGGTAGGATTATTACAAATAATTTTTCTTTAATATTTTAAAAATGGTTATTAATAAATTTTAAGAGGCCTACTTTTGTAGGCTTTCAGAGACGACCCTTATTACATGTGTTGTCAAGAGTAGTGATAGACCACTACCAGGTATGGGCTCGTTGGGCCCATACCAGGGGCAAAAATGTAATTTCACGTAAAATTTACCCATGTTGTAAAAATGCAGTCTCTCTCCTCTCAATAACAGTATATAAATTATGAATAACAGTGTAAAAATCAAGAATAACAGTATACAAACCAATAATAACAGTATAGAAATTAATAATAACTGAGCACCGACAAAAAACTGCCGGCGTCAATTTCAACCGAACTCAGCGATTTCCAGCATAGAACTCACTGTTTTTAATGGCTAGAGCCATAAGTTTGTGTCTCTTGTTTTTCGGTTATGTTTTTTTGGGTGGTTTCCGGTGATTTTTAATGGAGGTAGTTGCATGTTTTTGGATTTCGACCAAGGTAGTAGCCGGTGGGGTGGGTGGGCTTCTTGTTGTCGAAGGTGAAGGTGCGGTGGGCGGAGATTTGGCCGGCAATGGGAGGTATCCATGGAGGTGGGGAAAATGATTTAAGGAAAGAAGAAGATGAAGAGGAAAGGGGAAAAAAAAGGAAAAAGAAAAAAAAAATTGTGGTATTGGGTAGTATTACCTGTTTCGGGGTTTTCTGATATCCTGCGGGAGAGTTACAATTCTGAGACTGGAACCGGACGCCTGTACTTGCAAAACAAACGGATGCTCCGGATGATTGGAGATCCGCCTCCGACGGTCAAGTTAGTACTTGATTAAGGAGTAATTAATGCGGAAATAAAAGTAATTGGGTCTCTCTAGGTGAGAGTGTTAAATGTGCGTAATCCCCCTTAATGAGGATTAATGGGCATATTTATATGCCTTGGGATGCGTGCCAGTACTAGGTTTAGGTTAAACCTAAGGCTGACTGGGCCTCTCACAATGATTTGGGCCTTGTTGGCCGGTTTTCCCACTTGGCATGGGTGGACACGTGTCACATTGCAATTGGTCCAAGGAGGGCGAATCTCTTGATGACACGTGGCAGGCTCCTATTGGCCTACATGAAGGACACGTGGCGAAGCCTGGCTGGCCCACGTGTCGGATGCTGTTTGGTGGATAAAAATCCCCTAATCATTTGCCCCTCACAGGTGGCACGTGACTGGTCACGCGTTACCTGTGACAGGTGTCGCACCGTGACAGGCGACGACCTGCTACAGGTGTTACTCGGTGAAAGGTCGAGAGATTCTCCCGCCCAAATTTTGAATTTTGAAAGTGACCCTTCGCCTTCTCACTTTGCCTATATAAGGGTGTGTTGACTTCAGTCATTTTCACACTTGAGAACTTTTTAGAGAGAACATTCGGACCCCTGAACTTGCTCTGACATTCCGGACTCTTTCTGCCTACCGCCTGCTCTGACAAGCCGGCTACTCAGGATTTTCAGAACTCCGTCAACTTCACTCGTTCAGGTAACCGTCGGTTCTCTTACTCTTAATTTTCTCTTTATTTTATTCTTTTTTGAAATGGCACCACGGAAGCACACGACACGACCTAGGTTAGTGATCAGCCGGTCACCGGGGACGGCTGAATCTAGGACTAGGAGTGTCGCCTGCCCTTTTCCGGACCCATCTTTGCCCTTTATACAAAGTCTGACTGTCTCTGTGTCTATGCAGAACATGATGGCCAGAACAAAAAGAACTGCTAGGATCTCGAACTCAGACGGATCCTCCCACAGGGTGCCGATTAGTGAAACATCTGACCAGGCGCCAGATGTGGAAGTGAACCAAGGCGGCTTGACAGCCGACAGTTCTAAGGGAGGGGTCAAGGTGACCCCTTCCCATTTTACAGTTGACATGTCTACATTCTCTCCTACTCCTTTTGAAGGAGAGAAGGCTGGCCCCTCTGGGAGAGGGGAGGAGTCGTCCTCTTC